CTCTCTCATTATTTTTTTGACCTCCTTATTAGCCAATCTATAACTTTTAAGGCTTTCCTTACTTCTATTAGTCTGCCACTTTTTAAAACACTTTCTTTTGGTATTTACTACCACTTGAATATCCTCCCTCCACCATCCACCATCCACCACCAAGTTTCTTTATAATTGGGTCTCTTTCTTTTTGACTCTTCAAAGACTTCCCTTAAGATTCTCACACAATTGGCCATCGAATTTCACATAGTGTAAACATCATCCTCCAAGTTCCAAGTACCTTCTTTATCTATTATGTTCTTAAATATTTCTAGTTTATCCCATTTTATGTCCAACCATCTCATCCAATGACGCCCATTATCCTTCCTACCTGGGTATTGCCCTTTAAAGCATAAATCTAGTATTAAAATCATATGTTGAGAAGTCAGTTTCTTTCTAGAAATCACCTTTACAGTCGCCACATTTTAGATGGTCTACTTTTCTTACTAGAAAGTAATTTATTTGGCTCTTAATCGACCTTTCTAAAAGTTATCAAATGATTCTCTCTTCTTATACATAGTATTAGCCACCACCAGGTAGAAAGCTAACGCAAAATCTAAAATGCTCTCTCCAAACTCATTTTTATCACTGAAACCATACTCACCATGCACCCTTTCATAACCTAATTTATCAATTCCTACATGGCTGTTGAAATCTTCACCTATAACTAGATTCTCTCTTATGAGTATCTCCTGTAATACCTCATTTATTTGATCCCAAAAATCTCTGTTATTCTGATAATCTAATCATACTTGGGAGGCTTATACACTAACAACATTCACTATATTCTCTCTAATAACTAGTTTAACTAACATAATCATATTACCTCTCCTAATGACCGCAACTACATTTTCTACACATTATCTACAAAACCCTTAGCAATTATTATTCCTAACACATTCTTGTGTCTATCTTTAGCACTATAATATAATTTAAAATTGATATTCACTATTTCCCTTTCTCACCCGTCCACTTCGTTTCTTGTACGCAAGCTATACTAACACTCCTCCTAATCAATCATGACATCTACCAATTCCATAATCAAAACAAAAAAGAAACTAGAAATTAAGTAAAAACAATTAGACAAAGGAAAACTTTCTCAATGTAGATTGCAAGAAAGATGTTTTCCCTTTTTCAACAATCATTGAGACTCCAAAGCAATCAATTTTGTTCCCACGATTTCTTAGCAAACAAACTAATAGCTAAAGTAAAATAAAGTAGAAAAACAAAATATATTCATCAAGAAGATAACCAAATAATTAAAGAAAAATCATGAAGAATAAAGACTATTAAAGAACAAATTATAAGACAAGAATAAAAACTATGAAAACAAAATGTTGTATAAATAATTACCAAGTAACCAAATTAAAACACCATGACTCAAAAAAAATGTCATAATTAAGATTATAAATTTGATTGAAAATACTCACTCTCAATGGAGATTGTGAGAAAGATGTCCATTTTTTTAACGTCAGGCAATGAGACCTAAAAGGCAATGAATTTTGTTCCTAGTATTTCCTAAGCAAACAAACTAATAGACAAAGTAAGATCAAGCAAGATATATTACATATTCATCAAGAAGAAAACCAAATAATTATAGTTTTGATTGCCAAGAAATCACAAATAAGAACTTAATCCCAATGAAGATTGCGAGAAAGATGCCCGTTTTTTTACCATCAATCATTGAGACATAGAAGCAATAAATTTTGTTCCAAAGATTTATTGGCAAACAAACAAATTGATGAAGTAAAATAAAAACAATAAATAATCATCAAAAAGAAAACCAAATAATTATAGAGAAAATATTAAACAAAGAACTATAAGAAAATAATAATAATATTATAAAATAATTACCAAGTAACCAAATTAAAAGGCCATAACTCATAAAAAATATCATAATTAGGGAAACTAAGATATTGATAGTAAAATATTCTAAATTTGATTGCCTAGATATTTGAGAAGCAACTTAGTCTTGATAGAATTGCAAAGAAAGAAGTCCCTTTTTTTAACGTCGAGCAACGAGAGCCAAAAGCAATGAATGTTGTTCCTAATATCTCTAGGCAAACAAACTAATGGCTAAACAAAAATCAAGTAAGAAATAATAAATATTCATAAAAAAGGAACCAAATAAAGAGAAAAATTATCAAAATTAAAGAAACTAGAAATTAAGATTATAATTTTTTTTGCCAAAAAATTGAGAAAGGAACTTAGTCTCAATGCACATTGTGAGAAAGATGAGCATTTCTTAATTAAGAATTGAGACCTAGAAAAGCAAATGATTTTATTCCCACTATATCTTGTCAAACTAACTAATAGATAAAGTAAAGTAAAATAAAGTAATAAATAATATATATTCACCAAGAAGAAAACCATATAATTAGAGAAAAATCATTAAAAATAAAGAAAATTTTAAAGAACAAATTATTATAAGACAATAATAAGAACTATCAAAACTAACCATTGTATAAATAATCACCAATTAACCAAATATTAAAATACCATAACTCATAAAAATGTCATAATTAAGATTAAAAATTTGATTGTCAAGAAATCTTAGAAGGAACTTAGTTTCAATGAAAATTACGAGAAAGATGTTTGCTTTTTTAACATAAGGGATTGAGACCTTAAAGCAATGAATTTTATTCCTAGTATTTAAGAGAGTAAATATCATTTCCCCCCCTTCCAAATTATCACTCGTTTTTCACGTGTACCCCCATACTTCTATTTATTTCAATTTAGTACCTGAACTTTTCACAAATTGATCAATTAGATCCATGCTGTCACCTTCTGTTCACAATTGGACGGAATGTAATAAGCTATCCCCTTGAACCATCTTTTGGAGAGAATATAAGAGGGTTTCCTTGCAAAATAAGTTGGTTTAGTAGACAGTTCAATTAGGGCTTTGTTGGGATCAAAATCGATTTTAGGGTTTTCAAATTCCTTATTCGAAATCGAAATCAAAGTTTATCAGTGAATGAAGGGCACGAACTAACATCGAATCATGGGTTGGGTTCGAAGAGAGAAGGATGGCAAGCGAAGGAAATGACCAATTGTTTATGGTATTTACTTTTAATATTTGTTTAATTTTGAAGCTAATAATTATGAAAATCGATTTTTGATATAATATTATTTTGATTTGGCATTTTTTAGAATACATCTTTGTTTGTTTGTTTGTCTTTGAAAAGGATTTGTTTAATTGTAATTGTTTTACTTGAATAGTGTAATACTTGATTAGTTCTAGTTTAATCAGCCCTTAAAAGAGACTCATTTTTTATTTAATGCTTATTAAAAATCAATTTAGTTTAATCATTTTTTAGAATATAATTTTTTTTAATGTATTCATACATGGATTTCTTCAATTGAAATTGTCTTATGGTAATAATAGTTTAATACTATTTTTATTTATTTATTAGTATAATTAGTCCACAATAGCATATTTTTTTCATTTAAAAATGCAGAGAAAGGATCTTGTTATTTCACAATCAAAATGCATCATGGGGGTTTGGTTAGTTATAATTCTCAGAGGGTTTATAGTGGTGGATTGATCAGTTATTTTGGCTTTTGTAATTTTGATGAAATATCACTTGTGGAGTTGGATAATACGGCCAAGGAAGTAGGCTGCACTGAATGTAACATCTATTACTATAAGCTTAATTATTGTGCTGGGTTAGAGTTGATTAACACTGATGAAGATGTAATGAGGTTGGAGACATTTGTGGATGGAAACAGAGTAGTAGAGGATTATGTAGGTTGTTTAGGAATGGATGGTGTTATAGGGTCAAGTGCAAAAAGAGTCAGAGAAATGGAGTACTTGTAGATATACAAGTAGCAAAAGAGGAAGATAGTGATGACTATGATCCTAATCCCTCTGACTCTTCATCATTTGATGAGTCTGAGACATATGAGGATAGTGACTATGGATTTTCTGATGATGATGCATTGTATGAGGCTTATGTTAACAAAGAGCTAGAGTTTGCTAGTGTAGGAAGTAGTAAGATGCAATGGCTGAGGCAGTTGATGACCTACAAAGCCTTGGAAGCTCCTCTGATGAGCTAAGAAGTATTGACAGCTTATCTGATGAAGGAGGTACTTCTCATAAGAGGCAATACCCTATTTTTAATGTTCACTATGATATGCACAATCCTCAATTCAAACTTGGTATGGAGTTCAAGAGTCATGATATGTTTACGGATGCTGTGAAGGAGTATGCAATTAAATGGGGCAAACATATAACATTTAACAAGAATGACAAAAAAAGGTGAGGGCGGATTGCAAAGTTGGTTGTCCTTGGGTTTGTTATGCTTCATATGTAAAACATGATGAGTTGTATAGGATCAAAACACTTGTTGATGAGCACACTTGTAATAGGTCTTTTAATGTGGCATGGGTGAGTTCCAAATGGATTGTCAATAGGTACTTTGAAAGAATTAGGTTAAATCCTACATGGCCAATTCAATCATTGGCAGAAACTATTTCAAGTGAGCACAATGTGAAGGTTGACTTACAAAAAGTGAGAAGGGCAAGAAACAAGGTGTTGACACAAGTAGAGGGTACTGCAGCTGAGCAGTTTTCAATGTTATGGAGTTACATTGAGGATATTATGAATACCAATCCTGAAACAACAGTCTGCATGAAGGTGAAACAGATTCCAAAGGTTAATGAAGGGAGTAATCCTAGGGTTATTGATGGGAGCAATACAGAGTCAAAGTTCAAAAAGTTGTACTTGTGTTGGGGGTCCATTGAAGAAAGCTTTTATGAATACTTGCAAGCCAGTCATAGGAGTTGATTGATGCAATTTGAAGGGGTCACATGGTGGTATTCTTTTGACTGCTGTTGGGATAGATGCAAACAATTGCATATTTCCATTTTCTTATGCAATTGTTGAGAAAGAGAAGAAAAAAACATAGTTGTGGTTTTTAGAGCTGCTAGAATATGATCTGAATATTGTAAACTCTCATTGTTATACCTTCATGAGTGATAAACAAAAGGGTTTAATTGATGTAGTGGCTGAGTGTTTCCCAAATGCTTCACACAAGTTTTGTGTGAGGAATTTGTATAACAATTTTAAGGGTGAACACAAGGGGTTGGTTCTAAAAGATCTGTTGTGGAAGGCTACAAGGGCAACAACTGCTCCTGCCTTTACTAGAGTAATGGTAGAGATTAAAGAAGTTGATTGTAAGGCATATGATTGGTTAGTTGACAAACCACCAATTCATTGGAGTATGAGCCACTTCAACAATTTTCCAAAGTGTGACCTTTTGCTAAACAATCTATGTGAGTGCTTCAATGCAAGCATCTTAGAAACTAGGAGTAAACCTGTGGTTACAATGTTAGAGAAGATTAGGTTATTGTTGATGGAAACAGTTCAAAAAAGAAGAGATGCAATGCAAAGACACAATGGTCCTATATGTCCTAAGATTCAAAATCATTTGGAGAATATAAAAGTAGATGTAGGTGGATGAATTCCTAGATGGAATGACAATGAGCAATTTGAGGTTATAGGGCCATACGGTGAGCAATACAAGCTGGACTTGCAAGCTTGGACTTGTGGCTACAGGAAGTGGGATCTGTCAGGTATTCCATGTGCCTATGTTGTGGCTGCTGCAAAGTTCTTGGGTCAAGAACCAGAAAAATATGTTCATCAGTACTACAAGGTGGAGCCTTATCTGAAGATGTATGACAATATGTTGACTCCTATTAATTTTAGAGAAATGTGGCCAAGAACTGAGTATGCAAAGGTGTTGCCACTTGATGTGAAAAAGAGAGCTGGGAGGCCTAAGCAAAATAAAAGAAAGGAGACTGAGGCACCAATTCAAGGCACAAAGCTAGGAAGGCAGGGCACTAAAATGACTTGTAATAATTGTGGGAAGGTGGGACACAACAGGAGAAGTTGCAAGGTCAAGGGCAGATTCAACTACATGCAAGAAAGCCAACCTCAGGGGAGCCAAACTGAACCAAGCCAACCTTAGAGCCAATTAAGTGCAGAAGCACCTGAGGTCAAGAGACACATAAGACAGAAGAAACTGGCTGTCAATGTTCTTCCTTTTCTTTTTCTTTTTTTAAATAGTAACTTAACTGTCCTATATTTGATTGTGTTTAATTGTGGATAATTCAATCTTACTACAGGTTAAAAGGAGAGTGGTACAAGGAAGTCAGTCAACCCCATCTCTAATGAGTTCAACCAGCACACCAAAGGAGGGTCAAATGATATGGAGAGGCAAGCTAGTGTACAATGCTAATGGCCTTAAATCAACATCCATTGGACAGAAAGAGGGAGCACCTGGAGCATCCACTTGATTATTATTATTATTATTTTATTTTATTTTTTATTTTTTGTTGGATAAAAGAATGAAGCATCTACATGAATTTCTCATTGGGGATTTTTGTACATGTAATGATTTTTTGTTTGGAATGGTTTCCCTGAACTTGTTAGCTATGTAAAGGTAGTATTTTGGTTGTCACAAACAATTATGTGTTTTGAAAACTTGAATGACAAATTTATGACTGTTGCTTTTGCGCATGATGCTATATTTTAATGGATGGTACTCCTCATTTCTATCTAAATGTAGCTCGTGTTGGTTTTGGTTGCCATTACATGGATGGATTCCAATTGTGTGTTTTGAATGAATGCCACTGATAGGTTTTTTATTCATTGAATGAATGCCATTTGATGGATGGATGCCAGTGATAGGTTTTTTATTCATTAGTTACCATTTGATGGATGGATGCCAATGATAGGTACTTTATTCATTGGTTGCCAAGGTGCCATTCAAAGAGGCCACCAATTAGTTATTTTGATGGATGGATGACAAATAGTTAAAGCAACACACAATGCCACTTTTTTTTTTTAAATTAATTAATTAAATGATAATGCCCTGTTTTTTGTAAGGATGAACACAAATTGTTTTTTAAGGGACAAACAAAGGCTGTGATGCTCTTTTTTTTTTAAAAGTAAAACCTTAACACAAAATTTGAAATTTTCATTCAAAATACTTTCCTCATTACATTTCATTCATAATATTTCCCCCATTACATTTCATTCATAATATTTCCCCTTATTACATTTATTCATTCATAATAGTCTCCCCTATTATATTCTTTCTTACACTACATCACAAACCACATTGATAAAATGATGCACCATGAGGCAGCCAAGCATATCCATAACTTTCTCTCTCTTCTATTCCTTGTCTGCAATCTTGCTTCTAGCTTATTGACCTTCTTCAACAGCCCAGGGATGATTTGCATTGCCCGTGATTACATAGGTAGGTTTACCCAGGTGAACTAATTACAACCATTCGTGGGACAGCTGAGGAACCTCCTACGAGGATTTGCATCAGTCCATGATGTTTGTATCACCCTTCGTCTTCCACAACAAATGCATCTCAGGTCTTTCATGTCACTTGCACTCCATCTTCCTTCAGTTGAGCTCGATCTTCCCAGATTTTTTGACCCTCTATTCCTCATTCTGTAATGCCCCAAAAATAATCCATCGAAATGAAATGCAACAACCAACATCCACTAACTATTAATGGCAAATCTCCAACCTTTACATCATTAATCAACAAGGTTTATACAAAACTTCCACATGCGAATTATACATTCAATGGTATGACAATGTATGAATCTATAGCATGTAGAAAATTACTTCAATAAATAAAATGCCCTTAAGGGCTTACATATTCCAAGGCTTGAGCCCGGTTACACAAAAATGGTTTCACAACCCATACATTTAAGCCCTTGGCTAGCAAATAAATTCACAACCAAAATAGAGTCATCTACTCTTCATAGAATATATCCATGCCCTCAACTCGGCGAGATCACCATATATTTTCCTACACCAAAATCCCATAGAGGTGAGCATAAAGCCCAGTAAAGAATCCTTAACAAAGTATATACATATATGCAATATTTCCAATGTTAGATGCAAATGCAAATGCCATGCAATGCCATTTTAAAGAAAATTTCATTTCATACTCTTCTTGAAAATCACCATGTTTCAACAATAGTTTGCAATCTCAATAATTCCAAAACTTCCAATTTTAATCAATAGGGGCGGTAAATACGACTCAGGTAATCCCTAGGTTGGTGTCTACAAGGAGGCTCAACAAGCACTACCAATAACCCCACTTTATCAGTTGTTAACCGGAAGGGAAGTGGTACCTCCTCCGCGCGTGTTTTCGGTCTTTCACCCCAGACACTCAGGCCAACTTATCAATTCATCTACACCTCCTAACCGGACTTACCAACGTATTTACCCCATAAACATTTCCATTATTTCATTTACAATAATACATTTTCAACGAAAGTTCCAAGTCTCAATCCAATGTTCATGACATGCAAGATTTTAGAAATGCCAATGCAACATTTATTCATGCTACTTCATGTTTCTCTACTTTGATCATGGCTACAACAAATGTTCCATAAAGATTCAAAATTTCCGTTTTCACCTTTCAATGCCATTCCAACAAATATCCAAAAGTTACCATCATTTTCCATGTGTAACCATATAACCACAATTCGTGCACTTCCAACATGTCAATCGTTTCAAAGCCATAGTGTAGACGTCCCGAACGTCCTGGGAAAATCCCGTTTTGTCCATTGGGCTCACTACAGTTCGGACTTAATGTCACGGTTCTTAATCTAATCTTGCAAAGTGCAATGCGAGATTGATAAATCACCAAAGAGTCCAAATCTGGCAAATTATTTTGAAAAACTGATTTTTAGAAAGAAGTGCCAAACATGGACTGCTTTGTCAGATACAGAGTTGCCACCTATATATTTTATTTTTGGAAAATTTAGGAAACCCGGACTCATGCCTAAGGCCACGTGTCCGTCATCACCAAAGTTGCCTCGGCTTGGGAACTTGGGTATGATTGGGGAAGGTCATGTAATAAGCACCCCCCCGCTCGCCCGATCAAAGATCGGCCACTACTAAACATGATATCTTGTTTTTGAAAACATTTGTGCTCTTATTCCGGTTTATTAGCCTATAATTGCTATGTGATGCGCACAACATACAAGTATAGACTGGATCGTCTAAGTTGGAACAAAACATCTCATGTTTGTTTTTGAAAGCGGTTTGCTACTCGCAAGTAGGCTGAAATGCGGATTTTGCCACCCTCAAGTGGGCTTAGAAAACATGGTGATTTGCCACTCTCAAGTGGGCTTAAAACTTGCAATCGATGAATTGTTCCAATTTAAATAATCCAACCTTCACCCACAGGCATTCAGGCAGGTATATCACATAAGTAGTTAGCCTCATGGCAAGCATGCTATCATGGCAGTCACTCACACACATGCAAAGATGCTAAAGCATAAACACTCACCGAGTACTCCAAGCCAAAACAGAAACTAGTTAGTAATCAATGCATGATCCTAGATCATGTTAAGATGGCTAATGCAACACATGCAAAATGCAACTAAGATAGGCTTGACTATTCTAAGATGGCATATGAGATACTACAGATAATATGTATTCAACTCGGAATTGAAATACAATGCAGTTAGTATGATGCGCCGAGCCCAGTGCATGTAAGACAGATGAATGAATGCAAACATGAGAAGCATAAGGATGCTAATTGAAACATGCCCTAAAACTAACCATCATAAGGTGGTAAATAAAAGGGAGAAAAACGTGGGGTTGGAAGACATGCAGCGCACACACGCACACTTATTACAAAATTCGCCATCTCGACGGAGGGTCCGAATAAATAATACAAAACCAACTAGCTAACCTAAGCTAATCTAATTAAACTAGTTATTACACAACGAAATGAATAATAAGCTACAACTAATTATTACACAACATTAACTAAGTAAGTAATCTAAATGAGCATACAAACTAAATGAATGTGGGCTGCCTTAGCTCTGCTTTGAATAACAAAGGGCGCATGCATGCTTGAATTGCCTTGTTCGGAAATCCCTCGCGACGCCCCAACTCGCCTTTGTTTGTAATTGATCTCAGAAACTTGCACAAAGCTCCAGAGAGATAAAACCCCACCCTGGGAATTTGTGGGAAGGCTGCCGACCAGCTTATAGGCATGGGAGACCAACTACCGACCACCTTTTGTGGTGGAAACCAAAAAAAGTGATCGGCCGATTAGTTTCCACTCCTGGTTTTTGGTTTTCTGCAATAAAGGGAAAAAGAGAGGCACGACAAAGTATTTGCAACACATGTGTGCACGACCACTCTCCCCATCATTGCATAAGCTCAAGGGAGTGTAGTCCTCGACCCTCGGGCTACCAATCATGCATTTCGATGCATGATGGCCGAGGAGCTGAATTGCACGACTCAATGTGAAATGAATGCACATATAAGCACCTAAAGCGACCAACTCCATCATGGGTAGTCAAGAATGTCGGCGACCGGGAATCGAGGCACGTTTCGTCACTTTGAGTACGAGACGTGCCTCGTTTCCCGTGTTTGGACTAACTCCTATCCCAAACACAATGCAACAAACATGGCATGCACAAATGCAACTCTAGCATGCAATCCTAATGCAATGCAACTAAGTGATGCAAACATGCAAGGGATAACATGCAAACATGCAACTAGCATACACAATGCTATAAGCTACATGGCATGCACAATGCTCATGACACTAGCATACACAATGCACATGGAACTAATATACACAATGAGATGAACAAGGCATGCACAACGCAATGATGAATCATGCGGCAACGTGGCATACTCAATGCTATGAACTACAATGGCATACTCGATGCAAAATGGACTTAAACCAAAATGGATGGGCCTCAGCCACACCCAAATCAGTGGCCAAAGATGATGAAAACAAGGCTCCAAAACTCATGCAAACATGCCCAATGAAATGGCCCCAAGCCGAAGGCATAAAACACAACTTTCCAAACGCATTGAAAAAGTGCAAAAAGGCCGCCGACTACCTAGTCGACCGACCACCCAATGTGGTCGACAGGGGAGGAAAGGTGGTCTACACAAAGAGAAGAAGGTGGTGGCATGCTGCCGACCACAAATGATGTAAACAACTCACACAATGCATGTTGAATGGCTCAAGCACCGAAACTAGTGAAGTGTATTACACTATAGGCATGCAAGACAATGCTCAAATGGCTAAACCAACTCCAAACAGACCCTACGCAGGCCAGAATAGGGGCAAAAGTGAACTAAGATGATGGCTTGAAAGGCACAAAAATGAAGCTCATGCATTGGCTCACAAATGGGGTATAATGATGCAACTCTCAAGCACATTGAAAGAGTGACAAACATGAGAATATGACCAAGAAATAAGCTCTAAAATAACATTCCTCATAAT